TGCCCAGATGGATGGCAGGAGGTGGATGGGTGGATGAATAGTTGACTGAATGTGGGAAAGCCAGGATGGATGGAGCTTTCCTGGTGTCTGTATGTGTGTTCTTATGGTGCAAGATTGTCCATGGGAAATGGGAATGGCAGGGGTAGAGCCTGGACTGATGTGAGGAGAAAGAACCAGAGATATGGATGTGGGATGATGTGTGGAGTTGGGATGGGTGCGAGACAGGATGGAAGCAAGGAATGGATGGATGGGTGGATGGATGGATGGATGGATGGGTGGATGGATGGATGGATGGATGGATGGATAGGTGGATGTGTTTATGGACAGATGCAGGTTGAGATGAGCCCATGGCTGGTTTGTGCCCTGGGTGAGTGGGGCAGGATGCGCGAGGGGTGGTGTGGAAGGACAGAGGGGAGGTTAAATTATGCCTTGATGGGTGGATAGAAAGACAGGCAGGTGGTTGATCTCCACCTCCTGCCTCGTTCCATCTCCACACAGCACCAGCCTCCTCCTCAGAGGCTGCCCCAGCTGAGGACTCCCTGTCTCAGGAGCACGAACAGGAGCCCCAACCAAGTGCCGCGCCCTCGGTGCGGGCGGTGCTGGGGGAGCTGAGGGTCTCCAACGTCACCCCCAACTCCGTGGGGCTGCAGTGGAGCGTTCCCGAGGGTCCCTTCGACTCCTTCATGCTGCAGTACCGGGATGCCCAGGGCCAGCCCCAGGCCATGCCTATGGATGGCGGGTCCCGCTGGGTGACGGTACCGGGGCTGTCCCCGTCCCGCCGGTACCGCTTCCACCTCTACGGGCTGCGGGGCGGGAAGAGGATCGAGCGCGTCTCCATCGACGTCTCCACGGGTGAGGGGGAAGGGCACATGGAGGAAGGGTTGGAGAGATGGAAGTAGGGATGTAAAGAGGGCTGTATGGGTGGAGGGTAGGATGTAGGGAGGGAGCAATGCAGGGATCAAGGGGATCCCACCACTATAGCATCCCCATTGGCCAATGAGCACCCACCGACCCCAGCACCATCCAGTCAACCATCAACCCTTCCACCAGCCTAGTGAGCAGCAGCCACTGTCACCCACCATCATCATCATCATCATCCCTCCACCATCATTACTTTAATATCAACTCATCATCCATCATCATCCATCCATCACGTACCACCAGTCCCTACAACCCAACTGTCACCCACCATCGTCATCATCATCCATCCACCATCATTACTTGATTGTCATCTCATCATCCATCATCATCCATCCATCACTCACCACCAGTCCC